CTTGAAAAATGTTAAAAAAGAGAGAGAGAAAGGGGGCCTGGCGAGTATGTTTGACCTGGAGCCCATGCTGGCTCTCGACGTTCCTGATCACGGGCCTGTGTAATCAACATAGTAAGATCTGATGTCTTGTCAAACAAAATTATAGTTTTCAGAATAGTATAGCACCCTTAAAATAACAAAATAAATCATTGTTGTTATTTAGCTGTTTCAATCTTTGTTAATCTGTCATTGTTGGAAATATTTTAATCTTTATGTTTTAATATTTTCATTTATTTCAGGTATGACTTAGAACCAACAGAAGACAGAATAAATAAATACAATATATTTACCTTGTAGCTGTTATTTAGTTCTCTAGCTTTAACACGACACCATGCAAGTACCTTTACATATGTTAAGTTTTGTCTTAAGATGATTTTTAAAAAGTGAAGGAAATAAAGATGTATAAACTTACATTAGAATTAACATTTTCTGGGATTAACTTTTATATTCTTGAGTTATAATATTTTTGATAACAATATTAAGCATTATTTTCCAAAGACATTTTCTTAATACAGAAAAATGCACATAGTAAAAATTTTATTTTATGTCAGATCAAAAGCTCATTGACTTATAATCTAATAGTTAATCATTAGTTATTTGTTATTTGTTTTTTCAAATCCATGTTATTCTATAATATGTAAAGCAATTAAATTACATTTGGAAATGCAGTCATTTTATTGGTTTCAATTAAATACTAGTGGAATTTTCTTTATATATAAACAACATAATTAGCTTATATCTAGAAGTAAATTTTTTGTTTTGAATGAGGTAGTTATCATGATAAAAATGTATATATGTTTTATTGATGTTTAAATTTTATTTAGACACGTAACACCATGCATAGAGGGTTTGCAAAACAATTTTCTGTAGCAGACAGAATATATTTCTTACAGAGGGGCATATTTGTCTCTCGTGTCTTCAACTTCCAGTAAATTATATATTACAGATCTCTATGCTATAAATATTTAAAGTGCCTAGTGGTGCATCAAGCCAAAATCTATTTCTGGTAGATACATACTTGTTCAACTGTTTTTAATCTTTTACACACTTCTTAAAAGTTTGACGGAGGCTAAAATTTTGGAATTAGATGTGAACTTTTGTGAAAACTTTTGAAAACTGTTTTGTGTAAGTTCATTTCTATGAAAATAACTAACTAGCATGTGCCTTTCACTACTCTTGTGCATATGGTATAAATTAGAGAAAACCAAAACAAGCTTGTTTTGAAATTAAGAGTAACATTATGAAACTGGAGAAACTTCTTTGTGATTTTGTATTTCCAGATTTTAGCTTTTAACTATTGCTAATCACCTATATTTAGCCTTACATTACAAAATTAAAAAAGCAGTTATTTAATTCATTTATAAAAATTTACAGTTTAAAAATGGAAATGTGGCAACTGAACTGTGATTCTATTTAGGTTTTGGTTAAATGCTATGTCTCAAAAATAAAATTAAAGAGGAATTTCTTCTGAACACTAGTGATTTAGAAAATCTAAACAGATATTAAAAATGGTTTTGGTTTTCTCCTTATTCTTGCTTTTCAGGAATTCATGAAAGTTGCAAGTTTTCTGCACATGTTTTAACTGTTTAAATATTTAATCTGTTTGCTTGTTTTTGTTGAAATAAAAATTAATTTTTTTATGGCATGATGGTTAATGTTTTCAGTAGCAGGATGTGCTTACTTCAGAAATAAATGTTTTCTTACTTTCACTAAACATTTATTAAGGAAGTTCAGATACTTGACACTTCTAATATTTGTAAGAACCCAAATACTTGTAAGCGTGTAATAACAATATGAAAATTTGTATTTTCATTTAAATAGGAAAATAGAATTTTTAGTGTAAAACGTTATAAAAATACCCTAATAAACCTTTACAGAAGCAAATTATAATAATATTATGATTATAAAATTCTTAGAACTTTTTGATATACTCGAATGTAATTATGAATAGAAGCTCATTTTATTGGGAAATCTGTCGAAAGATAATAGAGGCCCAGCCAAAAAGTAACAAAATCATTAGTAGGATGGTTGCTATATCTTGGAAATTGGTTTATCTTGCACAGAAAACCTACAGAATAACTGTGTAGAAAAACTACAATAACATTACTCAGTAATATCCACTAACAATTGTATCTACACCTGGTGGATGGAGGTAAAACCTGTTAATAATTTTTAGCCTGCCATACATTGCATTTCTATGATTTATTGTGTGCAATGTGGTAATTACTCCTTTTTAAATCTTTAAGTTCCACATTTTCTGGCAGTGATATCTAATGATCCCCAGAATTATCATGATCAGGTCTTACAGGTACTTTAGCTCCTCCGGATAACTTTTGTTTCCTCAACTTATACTGAATGAAAAATAAATTAAAGAGAGAGATTCAAATTGATTCATTGATTAAAATAAATCATTTTGATCTAGAAAAGAAACAGGCTAGAAATATTAAAGATTAAGATTTTAAATAAAGACAAAAACCAAAAAAGTTAAAAAATAAACGAAATCAGTTTATATTTAAACTTAAAAACAAATTAAAAAAAGCTTTAGGTTTAATGCACCACAATTATAAGTACAGATATTCACTTTTTAGGGTTGCTCTCAGGACCAGCCACCAAAGTGTAAAAATTCTGGAATTATAATTCATAAGGCTGAAAAAAGAAGAATCATAAGTATGGACATTACATTAATTCTGTTAAATAATAATAATAATACAAGAATAACATTGTCATAAAGAAAGCATGATAAAGATAAAATATCTTGTAACTTGTAGCTTTTGCCAAATATTCCTGAGAGCTACTATGATTAGGCTTTACATCCATAAAGTTTGATTTCATAATTTCAGCACACATCTTTTTGACCACCTTTCTTCCTACATTTCATCTACAGATCAAGATGATAGCACACACAAAGTTAGAGATTATCATAATTATTCAGGATCTTTAGCTAGAAGCTACTCGCAAAGTACATAACAGAAATTGGTAAAAGAGTAATCCAAGAGTTGGTAGTAGGTGGTGTTGACTAGCTGCCTTTCTTCTAGTCTACCACTGCTAAGTTAGGGACGACTAGTGCAGATAGCCCTTGTGTAGCTGTGTGCAAAATTCAAAGAACAAACAAACAATTCAGCCAATGCTAACTGATTAATAAGCAATATGTAAAAAAATACTTTTATTTCATTTTTATAGAAATGGGTGAGAAAGGTGAGGAGAAAAGATTTGGGTTGCAGAAACTAATGTATACTTACACAATAGAAACCATATATATGATATATTTATCACATTTTTATCGTTAAATACACTTCATTTCAGGAGAAAGAGAGATCAAAACTTATTTTATGACTCTTGTTTTTCTTCTTATCTATTTAAGTTATAGTCAGTTGATCACTGTATTGAGGAAACGGCAGATATGATTTTTGAACACTCAAAGTTGTATTTATTTGTCACTATGTATGGCACCTTGAAACTACAGTAAATATATTATCTCTCCTCCTGATCTTCACTGCTCATGTTTAGGCACTAAAACTGACTTTCACGTGGTTTTACTTTTGCCCAGGGAAGCAAAAAATAAATGTAGTTGCCTAAAGGTTGTGATATTTTGTTAACAAAAACAAATAAATAAGCTTCATATAAGTTACTAAGATCAGCATAATATAAAGTGAGATTTAACATCATAGTCTGCTTTTTCTGATAAATTTCATACAGGATGGTCAAAATTGGTATTTGAAAAAAATTCATGAACTAAAAATATTTTTTATTCATGATAAACAAGCATAGGTGAAAAATATAACCATATAAATAGTTATTTGGTTAATTCAAACTAACCATAAATACAGACTTTTGCACCATAACAACCTCAAGTCAGATACACGTATCTGAATACTAAAGAAAATTTGGAATTTATTGTATTTTCCAACCGCAAGCCTTTATTTGATCCAAAGTTTTGAAATTTGGTGATGATTCCATAGTTTGTGTGTATGCGGGGTAGGGGGGAAAGTAGTTTTAGATCAATAGTTAAAATGGTATTCTTTCAGCCAAACAGTTTTGTAAGTCTGTTTTCCTGGTGCCATTTTTCAGAATATAAAGCCAAATAGCATGTATTAGTGAATTGGCTCAAATTTTAATGGCAGTATAAACCATGCAGAAAACATCCTGGAAAAAAGTATCACAGCATGATATATATATTATGGGTAATATGGCTTGTTCTAGAGATGAGAATGACCAAAACGTTTTTGTGAAAAGTAAGTTGTAGTTAACAAAAACTATGATGTTTTATAGTAATTTATAAATGAAATTCAGTTATTCTTTTTATTTTTTTATTAAACTGAGAATTAAAAAAAAATTAAATATGGTGCTGTTTGACATTTTACAGATATAAAACAGGTAAATTATTAAGAAAAACATCACAGTTGTAGTTATGTGGGCAGGCACAAGACTGAAGAAACTCTTGTTCATATAAGGCAGTATGAAAACTGCCCTGAAATGCTCCCTTGCAATGTAATGTAACTTTGTGGGGTTGTTAAGCACTAAATGGTAGTCTTCAGGTGCTGAAGAAGGTAAATCATTGAGTACGTTTTTATCTTGTTGGCATGCACCCATGTCTGTACGATAGTATCTTTTGATTACCTTATATATTTACAAAGGTTTACAACATACAGAACAAGTTATTACACTACGTTTTGTACAAAATGATCTGTAATAAATTTGTGTGTTGTAAACCAATAGAAATGTTTTATTGCATCTATGTTAGTGCATTGTTTCCATTACCAATGATACCTTCTTGAACCTTACTTTGAACTTAAACTGCCTTCTAACTCGTATGGGAGTACCAGTGGCATAACTACAAAAGATATCCCCCTCCCCCACATAAAAAGTAATTGGGCCGTTTACATTTATTTCCCTATAATTGTAGTTACAATTCTGGCTGAATAATATAATTAATTTAACTGAATAGTGCAACCATCCCTTAATTCAGACAAATTGCAGGGGCATACTTATGCCACTGGGAAGTACTGACATTAGCCTAATAATAGCAATTAACTTTTTTCTTGTTTTACTGACTCTCTGTGGCATTCCACTGGTTCAGGATGAATCAAGCACACAGTTACCCACTACAGAAACCAGCACTTAGTGTTGATTTATCACACAATTTCAACTGAATTTACCATGATCTGAATTAGAACTCCAGAATAAAATTGTACATTTGGTATGATATGAAACATCTGCTGTAGGATATGGGGCAAACATATCAATAGACTTATATTTCATGCTAAGAGTTTTTGTATTTCTATTATAAAGGAACCTGTTTTAGATAGCAGTATAGCTGTTCTCTTTATTTAACTGGTGTTTCTATTTTAACTATTTATAGTATATGTTTAATGATTAAATATTAGTATTAATGTAAATTTAAGTAAAAAAATGTTTTTGTATAATATTAATAAGTAGTAGACTACACATTTTGTTTCTGAAGAAAACATAGTTAATAGCATAGGAGACAGAAAGTAAGAAATAGAACACAAATTGCCAAAACATTTTTATATATTTATTTTTGGAAGAGAACATTTTGAGCTAGAGCTATTCATTGGATCATAAAGCTTAAAACAAATTTTGTAATATATATTGTCAGTACACAAGGTTTATAATACATTCCCATATATTAGATGTATGGAGACATATGTCCAAAATATTTTTAAAAATTGGGAATTTACAAACCTGCAAGTATGAAATGTAAAAAAGTAAGGAAACAAGGATGAAGATGCTGTAGACATTGTGCAATCAAACTATAAACCATTATTTTGGCATCATGCTGTTACCTAGAATTACATTTGGTGGGGTCAAAATAAGGATTTGTAGTTTGAATAAATAATGTCTACAGTATCTCCAGCCTTGTTTTTTTACAATCTCTGTTTGCAGGTTTTAAATTTCCAATTTTTTATTTATCTTGTTTACTGGGGTTTTTTTTATGCTCAACTATGGGCAAAGGATTACTTGATATGGTAGCTAACTTTATACATTGTAGTGATAATAAACATAGCTATTAGCCAGCTGATACAGCTCATGTTGATTTACTGTATCTATTGGCTATTTGATTGCATTAGTTCTAGATGTAAAATGTTAAGCTTCAGCTGGAAATTATCATGGAGATGTGTCGGAGAATATAGTGAGCATTTATAGTTTCTGTGTAATTAAATTTTCTATATATAATGCATAGCAATGGGCAAATGTATGCCTAGACTAAAACACCCCCACTAAGTGCAAAAAAAATTACCAGTAGAAATGCAGCCTTTTCAAATAAAAGATATAAGACTAAAACATCACTTTAATTAAATTTTCATATCTTCTAAAGTAATTATTCTACAAATTTGTGAAATAAAATTTAATATTATGTGTATTGATTTTTTTTCACTCCTTCACTTCATGTATAATATAGGGGTTGGCTCCCTAAAGACACTGATTATATAGTATCCAAAGCATCGAGTACTACAAGTTACAGTCACCTATTATTGGCTAATAATTTCTGTGTCACCTTGTGCTTCAACTTATTAAACGAACACCAGATATTTGTAAGAAAGCTAACTTCAAGAGGTAATGATAACATCGTTTACCCTAGAATTATGATGTTTTATAGCTTATGTAAAACATAGAAGAAATA